GGATATATGATGAAGTCTCTTATGTGAAAAATACTACAACTCACTTTAGAAATACCACTAGAGAAAAACTTTTGACTGCTCTCTTTCTGTAGTTATATGGGTTGTAGTTAATATTCAACGTACCCTGAATTCTTTCTTGTGGGTAGGTGAGAAATGCGTTCATCCATCTGCATGTGAAGTTAATGTTAGAAAGAGCACAGCATATCCTAAAAACACAGAAGAATATGTTGTAATTGTGCTCAATGATAGAAGCCTGCGTATAATTCCTTTGTGCTAATCATTGAATGAGTATCTCTGTTTCTGTTGGCATCTGCTGCCTCACATAAGTGCTATGCTGTAGGAGGACAAAGACACATGTGAATGCTTCTCTCATTACCTTGCTTCTAATTTGCTTGCTGTATGCAAATCAAACACATGTATGGCTTTGCAACTCTTAAGACTTGTTGATTATTAGAACAGCTCGACTAAAAAATGGCTGGTTGTAATAGCCCGCCTTAATGGCGGAGCTGGTGGTTCTGCTTAAGTGCCAGAATCATGCCAACTGCCTGATGATGTTAGTACTTCAAGCTAAACTGATGTTAACTGTGGTAGTATAGCATAGTTTTATGGAAAAGAAATGGCTGCTCTTTGCGCTTAGTAAACCAAAGAAAGGATTTGAACGGTCAAAGGATTACGTAGCTGTGACAAATTTTAATATTCTTAAGTTGTCCTGGTAATTATGACTGCATGCAACATATTTTCTCTAATCAAAATTCCCCAGCAGACTGTCTGAGACAGTACCAGATTCAGATCCTGTAGCTGCATGAAATGTATGTGGGTTTGAAAAGAAGAAGAAAAATCTTCTATCTCTGAAGATCCTGGATAAGCTGGGCCTTCAATTAGTTCCTCCATTCTAGCAGTATTGGTGCTAGGCTGTAGGAGAACAAACCTCTTCACAAAGGTGCAATGGGGATAGCTTGGAGGTACAGTGCAGCGGCTGCATGTGTTATCCTCCTCTTCTAGCTAAACTTGGTAGTGGTTTGCTTCTGCAGTAGAGGCTAGCTGTGTACTTGGAAATTCCTGAAGAGGGCTTCCGTGTTGTTAAGTTTTATGTTGCTGTTTAACTTGTGTGGTGCTGCCTTAACTTTTTTCAACCCATGGCATGATTAAGGATAGCTCTTCTTGGCAAAACAGATTAAATTGGGGGATGGAGGGGCAGGCTGTCAGGAGTGGTGACTGTACATGGAAGCGATTTTCCTTAGTCTTGGTTTACTCTTTCAGTCTTGCCTATTGGAGGCTATATGCAATTATTCTAAAAATTATTTATACATATAAAACTGAAAAAAATGCAGGAATCTTCTGCAATTCTATGAAATAATTATTTGACAGTATTATAGGATTATAACTTCCAGTGGTCTATTTTTAATAGCCAGTCTGGCAATTACTTTATTTATAAAGCTATAAACATATTTTGAATATAAAAGCCAAAAAATACAAACTCAATGAAGTAAAAAAAATTACAACAAATGATGGATAGTCACTGGACAAATGAAAGTACAGCTGCAAAACATTTATCCCTGCTACATACATACAGTGGCTTTACTTGGTTTAATGAAGTGGTATTTCCATGACTTCTACATTCAAACTGGTTTCAGGAATTCAAATGTGCAACTCTAAAGAGTTGAAAATGCTGTAAAAGAACTAAAAAAAAAAAAAAATCTCGTTGCAATAAAAACTTAAGGGCAGAGTTTTCCTTCTATTTTAAAAAAAAAGTATTAACACAAAACAGTAACACTTCATATAGCATTTCTAAAGACACTTTTTGGTATTAATAAGAGTAACTTTCTCTGTTTTGGCATTGGTTATTAACCAAAGGCATGTAACAAAGTTGGTCTTGCTCATTATCTTGTCTTGGAAATGGGTCTTTCTTGCATGTTTTGGAGGAAAAAAAAGATTAAATTTTCTTAGCATGTCCAGTTTATACTGGTGAATCTATAATATGCCAGGTGGGCTTCTGAGTTTATACTGCGGTAGCTGAAAGCACAGGATGAAATCTGGCTATAAACCTGTACGTATAAAGCAGAGCGTAAGGTCAGAACAGTGCCATGTCAGTATGAGCCCCATTTCGGAGCAGCATCCGTCAGCGGATGGGTGCAGCTGCCCCAACTCTGTGGAAGTGCAAAGGCACAAAGAAAGGCTCCTGGAGATTGGGGGGGAAGTAGATTTTTACCAGTGAAGTCTTGCAACAATTGGATGGACTGAAGATGATGTGAGAAGGCTGTAATACAGATGGGCCTTTTCCAGGTCCGCGTGCCCTGAGCCGCGGCAGGCCTCCTGAACGCTGCGGAGGGGCTGGGAAGAGCCTTGAAATAAATGGATGAATGACAGCTGTTTCATTATGCTAGTACTACTTGGTCCTTGGTCAAGGTGCGCAGTTTATACGGTGCAGGACTTTCCCCCAAACTACCTGTCATGTTATTTAGACGCATCTGCTTTGTCTTTTATACCCACCTTTGCTTTGCTGCTAAGTTGTACTTGTTTCATGCAACCACAAATTACCATGAAGGTATTAAGTTATTCCAGTTTTAAACAGAGTTTTTGAGTTATGCTAGACCACGAATGGACACTGCTGCTTTGTAATCTGTGGTTTTTACAGTAGTTGACCTTACATAGCACCTTACCTCAGAGGGTCTCAAAGAAAAAATTATGAGCTGAGACTTTTTTTTTTAAAGCAAAGTGTTTTTTGGTTTTTTTTTTTGATCAAGTCATAGAAAGAGCCTGTCAGATCTGGGAAGTCTGTATTCCTCTGATCAGCACTAGACGATGCTGTTGTCTAAACTTGCTAAAATACTTAAATACTAGCGGACTGCATAGTGATCTAGTGCTACATAATTAACCCTCTGAGTGCAATAAGTGTATGACTTGAAGTGTACAGTTAGCAGTTTGTTCAGATAATGCTACTGCTCTAAGGGTTAAATTGACTCTTTCGGATTTGTGCACGTAGCTTTCATTCAGTGCTTCTGAAGTTACGCTTACACAGGAGAGGAATAAAGCGATAGGTTTAGATCTTCTAAGCTAAAACTAGAATTAAATCTATGCTACTGTAAGCAAAAGTACCTAAATAAAGGGAGTAAACCCAAAGCTACTCTACAAACTAATCAGGGTTTGTCTTTTTTAAAAAAAAAAAATCATTCTTTGATGCATAAACTTGTTTAAAAATTTGTGTTTAGTCCAATGTAAAAAATTAGGGTTTGTGTTTTTGCGTTAGGAAAAAAATATAAAAATATTTTGTACACTATAAAGGTCATCTTAAATTTCTTGCAGTTCTACAATAATATTACTACATTATTCGTATTCAGTACTCTAAATCCTATTCTGTAAAGTAGAAAAAAATAGACCCCCATTGGCTTCTGGGTGTTATTTTTCTGTTGGGCAGTCTAGAATGTGTTTTTTTTAAGCAGGAGAAAATATGCAGAGGACTAGAGTGTGACCTCCGTGACAAGGGGGTACATCTGGAACAAATCCAATACTTTTAGATTAATTTAGGTTTTACATCGGTTTATGGAGATCAGAATCTGTCCACAGTGTTTTTTGTTTATCAAGCTCAAAATATAAATAAAATACCAGAAATTGGTAAATGTTTTCAAGCTGGAGAGAATATGTGAACATTTGGCCTCAACACAGGGTGGAGGGAGGCTCTTTCAGAAAAAGCTAAATTTCTTTTTTTTTTTTTTTTAAACTACACACCAAATGATCAAAGCTGTTTTAATCGTGCTCAGGAGAAGTACAGATTGATGCTTGAAGTGAAGAGCAGGGTAGTGTGCTGTTCTGCTTCCAAACTACCCCTAAGGAAGGGGAGAACTGAGAATCATGGTAAACCTCGTACTGCAGTCTGTCCTCCACCCCAGCTCTGCGAAGTACAAATGCTTTTTGAGATGGAGCGTGGTAGCCTGTCTCGAGTAAACCGGTCAGGCGTCACGCAGGTCCGTGCACGCTTGCCCTGAGCGCTCCTCGGGCGTGCTGCTGCATACGTGGTTGCAGAGAGTTAGGTTGAGGCCTCAGTAGCAAATGGATTTTTTTGAGTCTTTGCAGAGGCTGTTTTAGAAGAATTCTGGCTATCCAGATCTGCAGTGGAGAATCCCTAACCGCAGGGGGAGCCCTGCACCTGGCTGATGCAGTGAGCGAGGAAGAGTTAGACCTGCAAGCGGCTGGTCCAAGCTGCTTCTGCTGCCTGCTTAGTGCTCTCAGTTTTCCTCTGCCGTGCTGTACGCTAAAGGAGTTTGGTATGTCTGCACAGAGACCTGTTACCTGTAAACAATATGTTCCTGTTCTCAAACAGGAAGTTTAAAAAATTCACCTCATTTGTTTTAAGTATTTTGTCTTTCTGTCATCCAGTCAGATCAGAAATCCAGCATTGCTACATTTAGTTTTCTGGCATAAGGGCTTAAAAAAAAAAAAAAACCTCCTATTCCAGCTTTGCCGGCTTCATGGTATAACAGCTACAAGAGATCTGTGACCGACTACAATTTAAAGCAGCTCAAATGCACGAAATGGAAGCCAAGGGCTAGATTTATAGCACCTACCATCTACTGCAGCAAGCTGGGGACTGTCTTTGCTTTCGGCCATGTCTGTAGGTGATGCAGTAAAAAACAAAACAAAACCAAACCAGCCAACCAACCAAACAAAAAAGCAGCACAGGGCAGGGACAAAAGGCTTGTTTACTCATCAGCGCTTTCAGTTTTGGCAAGTACTTATTTTTACTTTTTTTTAAATCAGCTTTCTCTCTTTAAACCTCCCCCCGCCCCCAAACCAAACAAATTTCCCAGCATCCTTAAATCATGATGTTGCCTAACTTTGCAAATGCCGGTTTTACAGTGAAGCGGGTGACGTGGAAGGGGCCTCTGGTCCGTTCTGGTGGGAAAGCCGAGTGCCCAGTGGCTCAGCCAGCGCGGGGGGAGAGCGGGGCTACGTCCCCGCTGAGGCCGTGGCCGACGCGCGGGCCGGAGAAGAGCACCTAGTGGTCAGTCTGGAGGAGCAGGTAGCGGTTTTGATGTGAACAGAGCCGGGGAGAGGGTCGGTTTGTTCTCGGTGCGCGGGATCGGCGGGGCGGGGGTGGCAAGCTTGTCAGAAGGAAAAGCGGAGGATCGGCATTGGAGTGCATCCAGGGGAGAGGGAGGGGAGTCTATAGCACTTCCATCGGAAGAAACTGGGCTGGCACAGCGTCCTTCTCCTTGTAAGTACCGAATGCACTTCTTTTTCCTCCTAAGAACAGTGAAGAGAGTTATCTGTAAACAAAGGGTGAATTTACAGTCATATATAAAACACAAGACATTACAATATTCAGCGCGAACATGGGGCGCGCAGCAGAAAGCCGTGCTCAGGGCGCAGCGTTGAAACCACCCCTATTTACTGCAACCCCCAGCCGCTCCTGTCCTTCTCCCTGGCCCGTGACTCGGTTGTGCTCTCTGCTCACTGCTCACGGGCCTCGCCAGCGGGGGGCCCCCCGCCGGCCTGGGAAAACGGGCTGCGGCGCTGCCCTGCGCTGCCCCGCACTGCCCCGCGGCACTGCAGCCATGCGTGGGGCTGGTTGGACATCACCAAGCGCGAACCTCGAGAGGATTAGCCGGCCCTGCTAAACCGCCGGGGCCGGCGCTCTAACCGGCCTCGAAGTAGCCTGTCTTTGGCTTAGTTTATTTTACCTGAATGATTTAATGCAAATTAACTAACACAGTGATCGAGAGAATTCAGATTAATTTTCCTGTGAGCCTGTGCCCAGAGGAGCCAGAATTATTCACAGTTCGAGAAAGTACCCAAACGTCAATACAGAGCCTTGGAGGCGAGGGCCAAGTGTTAAAGCCACTGATCTGCAACCTCCTCCACTGTGTCACTCTGCAGAAGGAGCAAAATGCTGCTTACTCCACAGAAGGGGCTTCGCCCACCTACGATCTAGGTGCTGTGTTTCGGATGCGGAAGGAGCGGCTGCGCTGACAGCTGGCATGAACGCGGGCTGGCGCCACGGGGCTCCGTGGACTGGTGGCACCAGCTTCCCCGGGGCCTTTCCCACCCTGCGGCTCCCCCCGCGCCGGCCCCGGGTGTTGCTGCGTCAGACCCGGGTTGTTGCTGCGGCTGGCACTGCCTGGGGCCCTGCTGGTGGGGCACGCTTCCGAAACCGGGGGCACAAATATTTGGCCTTGCAGTACCCTTACTAGGATACTGCGCCACTTCTTTCTCGCAGAAAGTGGCCCTTCCCATGCCCCACGCCGCCCCTGCTGCTTGCGATCGATGCACTGGTTTGGCTGCTGAAAGAGCACACTGTTACGTGAGTTGAATTCAAATGAAAAGGCCTTGAACCACAAAATACGGAAAAGGTCATTTCTCACTGCCCCAGCGCTAACGCCACCCATCCAAGCGTCTCCGCTTCTGGGGTGCTGAATGGGGCAAAGGGGCTCTTGCAGAGGTGCTTCAAGACCATAAAACGTGGCCCCTCTGATGCATGAGCACACGTGTGCCTGCCGCATGGCCAAAACGAGCCCCTGCACGTGGTCAGGTATGTGGGTGCCCGTCCTGGTACGGAACTAGGTGCGACTAACCCATCCAGGCCCGTGGCCCACCACACACGTGCGCGTGCGGTGCACAGCGCAGAGCTGCACCAGGGATGTGATCTCTGTCAGACACGGGTGTTCCCCTACAGCCCCTCTCGGGGAAAAGGTCTCACGTGCTGCCTTGCCAGGACGTCTCCTGTGCCCTCTGAGGAACGCCTAGGGAAGAGGCTGCAGGATGCAGTACACTGGTCAAACACTTCTCGCTAGTTCATTTTTGGCTTGCCTTCTACAATAAAGCGAGGCAACCCACACTCTCAAGGCAAGAATATCTTTTGTGCGCGGGCCACTTCGTACCGCTTTCCTAGACTTGTGCAGACTATCCCTGCTCGCTTTTTCTGCAGCAAAAGCTTTTGGTCTCAGCTTAGACAACATCTCTGAGTCTCAAAATACTCTACGTTCATTCCTGCAGGACCTCTAATCACGGTTCAGTGACACAGTTGATTTGAAAGCGCTCAACTGCTGTGGGTTGAGCAGGAGCAGAGATTCCTTTTCAGGGAAAGGGAAGAGCACGGCATGGGACTTGCTGGAAGAAGGTATGGTCTGAGTCTGTGAGATCCCTTTTTTTGGATGTTAGCCTAGTGGTGAGCCTGAGAAGCTCTATGTGGCTTGTGGATTCTTTATAACTCATTGGTGTTTGGAGGATAGATCACCTTTTAAACTGCTCCTCTGTTGACTAAGCTAAGAAAAAAAGATGATCACGACAGTACTACTACTCCTGCTTCAGCTCACAGCTTTTCTGGGCAAGAAGAGATTGCTGTGAATTTTCTCTTCTTTCCAAGCCCTTTTTCTTAGGAAAGAACTCTTTCTACAAGTGCAAAATGCAATGTAGACAGGTAGTAGAAAGAACAAGAAGCATCTGAATGAACCTGTACCCAGATCTGTGCTTCAAAAGCCTCACTTCCATACTTTCTTTAAATGGAGCATGACAAATAAGAGCTTGGGGGTGGGGGGGGGTTTAGTCACAGTAAAGACTGCATAGACAAGGTATCCACATGATGCTGACTATGCTCCACCATCTCCGCTTTTCTAATAAGAAGTCCCAGGGACTGGGCACGTCTCAAAGTCACCAGCGCCCCTGGAGCAGATGCAGCGGCTGCTTCCTTACGCAGTTCACTGCTCGCTTCACTGAAGAAGCACGCTCGCATTCCCCATTTTTTCATACAGCATGTTCTCGGTGCTTCAAAAAAATATAAGTCCTACATCAACCTCTCGATAACTGGATTTGGGAATGATTTCACCACATCCCTTGACAAATCCGCTATTCAGGATCCTTGAAAGCAGGACTATTTAGCCTACGTTTACCTGAGTTCCAGGTGTTATCTTATACATTGAGCTTACTTTTACTCTTCCTGGGTATTTACAGTTAGTATCTTGTATGTGGTCTTAACGTCTTCCGTATTGAGTATTCTGGCCTTCCTTCTCGTCATATGACAGATTTTTTTACGTCACCCGCTTTGAATCTTCTACAGCATCTCACTGTAGATTTAAGCAATAGAGATCTCCAGGTATCACCTTAATAACCCTGAGGGAAACAATTCCTCTGCTGGAGGTGTCACGGATGACTTTACAGCCATCCAGCTAAAACAGCCAGAAAGACCACCTTCCTACCGGTCAGCTGCCTGCCTCAGCTGTCTCACGGGAGGAAAACAGATCAAACGGAGAGCTTGCTAATGCAGGCACCTACCTTTCTTTGATCTTACCAATAAAAAATCAGACCGTGTTAGAATATGCATTAACTAGTCCGGTATTAAATACGACTTTGCACTGGATGTGAACAAGAGATGCGGTATTACTAGCGTCAGCGTCGTAGTCAGCCAGGGCGACCCAATTAACGTGATATGAAACAAGAGCCCTGCTAAACTGCATATTTAATACTGAGGTTATTTTACACTGGCTGTAATCTTACAGCGTGGACAAACCCTGGGAGAAGTTGTATTTTCCACAGGCATTTCAGAAGTAGCTGCGGGAAGAAGCGGTTCAATGACCTATGTATAAGATGATACACATGCATCCATCAATTCGCTGATCTGATTTGATTTAAAAACACAGACAAAAAGCAGATCTGATGTTACAGATTACTGACTAAATGAACCCTCTAATGGCCTACAGTTAACATGTCTATTGTTCAGCTAAAAGGATAGATAGATATCTCTATATGCCTGTCCCTTCTGGACCTACAGCAACCCGGGCCAGTTTGCCCTGGGGAGGGAAAGGAAGGTGAAACCTCGAAAGCAGGAACATGCTGTTTCAACCAGCTAAACGTCTCCTGGTGCGGAAGGGAAAGTCTCTGGTGGAAGTTTCTCTTAGCAGGTGTCATGACCAGAACACACATGGCAGAAGCCCTTGAGTTGGCAGTAGTACCTTAGTACTGGGAATTGCGAAGAGCTGTTACTAAACGGTATTTGAAAGGCAAAGGTTAAGAGAATTGAGAAAGCATGCTGAGGTGTAAGAGCAGTTCAGCAGCTTGTGTTAACTGGGAAGCAACGCAAATGTTAGCACGGGGTGCATTAAGTAAGGGTGAAGCGGTTAAGAGCTGCCCGAAGACCTGCAGTCGTGCTCTGCGCTACTGTACGGAGGCGTCAGCTCAGCGTTGGTCTTCGTGTCCCGGATGGCATTGCTGCTATGAATGACAGAGGTCACAAAAACCTCTCTGGACGTTTAAGGGAAAGTAGTAATGAGGCATTAAGGGAGTTCTGTCCAGTTTCCTAAGCAGGAAAAAATGGTTCTTGAGTGACATCCATTGTACAAAATGCAAGCATGGGCTGCTTCTAAGCTACAATTACGTAGTAAAAAATGCCCAGAGAGAAAGATAAAGCGCTTGCTGTTTTGCAGCACCCAGAAGTACATGAAGAGAAGACAAGAACTTTGTTCGACCTCCTTGTTCCTGCCCTGTGCCCTAGCCATGAGCTTAGTGTCAGCGACAAAGCTCCTTTAGGATATAATCAGTTAAAAAAATAGGTTTGCGGAGGGTAGCTCGGACAGTCTGCATCAGCCCCAAGTGATTTGCACACCGCCTGGATATCACTTGGGCTGCCGCTAAGCTCAGTGACCAAGCAGCGTCAGGACTCTGCGTGGCTACGTTTCTGGGATTCAGAGAGACTAACTTTAGCCAGCTTTAGCTGCGATAAGCACACTATGCAATACTTTCCCCTTTTATGTAAGGCCAGCAACTTTCGGATTTTGCTAGACAGACTCTAACATGTTGGCATAAAAATGTGCGAATGCGTGCGCTGTGCTACGGGCCGTAAACCTCTGCTGGGGCTGCAGCCTCCCCTTGCTTGGGTGGCTAGGTCCAGCGGCGGGCCACGAGCTTTCTCCACCTAGAGCCATCTGAAGATGCTCTGAACCAGGTCATATTTATTTGGTTCAGGCATTAAGATTTACTATTGCCTCCATGAGTTCACTCCTTAGAAGCTCGAGGCGCAGAGTGCTCACACAGTGTCTCGTTGCTTGAGGTTATCCCACCCTAAAATGGGCGCAGTAAAAGCTCAGGGCCGCTTGCTGAGCCAACGAGCGGTGGATCTCAAAATACATGGTTAGTCCCAGGTATAAATAAGAAAAAGAAACACATGAACTACTCACTACCGGCCCTAGAATGGTATTTTTGTGATAGGGAATTGTTAAAAGGGGAATAAAGATCCCACATCAGGACGCTTCTTGAAAACAGGGGAGGGATGAGAAATGACTCAACACCAAAAAAGAGAAACTTGTAACACCAGGGAAGTAGGTAACCCAACGAACACGTAAAAAACATGACATGATGTTGCCTGCCAGGGTAACAAACACAGGGTGCAGTTTGGACCTAGCAACTCGGCCCACGAATGCCGCTTCCGCTCCCTTGCCATATAAACTGCGCGACTGAGAAACAGCAGCCGGAGGTGAGGAAGCCCCGGGAAAACCCCAAACCCGGTTTGCCAGGAGCAGCCCTGAACGGTGCCGCCAGCTTGTCCGAGTGTTAGGAGCACAGACCGCTGGAGAAACATGCACAAAGACGAAACCGCACCCACGGGAGCAACCCCAGCCGGCGCCGAGGAGCAGAGGGGAGAGTTTCTGATACACACCTGCACGGGCCGCACCAGTCCGTTTGTTGGTTGAGGCCAAAGCGAGCTCTGCATTTCTTAGGAGAGGCAGGATCTGAACACAGAAGCATGCGTGGCGGAGAATGGGCAAGGCAGAGGCACAAAAGAGGAGGAGCAGCAGGAGGAAGAAAAGATGCAACGTCATTTTAGCCACTTAGCACATAACTAACATGCTACAATCCAGTTTCGCTGCAACACAACTATGCCGGCGCCACCTGTCCTGCAAAAAAGTGATCGTTAGGCAAATATCAGAGATCACATCTAGCAGGCTGGAGAAGAAGGAGGTTTGGGAAACGGCCTCCAGCCCGAAAACTTGGCAGATTTTGTTCTCGCTCCCTTGTGTTTCCCTAGCTCAGCCACTTCCCTTCCCAAAGCCGCAGGCAGGCACGATTCAACCCCGGCGCGGGCAACGATCAGGAAAGTCGCCGCTCTTTGCGGCACATCAAACTCCTTCTTTTGGAAAAGCTGCCAAATCAAGCAGCCACCGACCACCTCCTGTGCGTGAATCCTGCTCCTGCCTCTCCAGCCAGGGCTAAACAGCCTGCCAGAGTGCTCAGGCTTCACGTTGAAAAGAAGAAGAGGAAATATTGCAGAAGCAGGTTGAAAGCAGAGTTAGCACCAAGGAGATCTCAGCCTGGGCAATTCTACGCTGCCTCCCCAAATTCCCCTTCCAGCTCTAATGCAAAAGCTATTCTCCGCGGCCTTTCCTAAAATGTTGCAGTGTTGCTGCATAAAGATGGGACTGATTAGGCCCTGTTTTCTGTTAGGTACATGCTGGGTTTTTCTCCCCCTGTAGTGCTGTAAATGGGATTCAAATAGTGTATTTCTGTGCTAGCTTCAGACCTCCTCCTTCAGATACCACCAGTATTTCCCGTTGTACCATTAGCAATCGTTTTCCAGTCCAGAATGGGTGAGATTATTGTTTTTATCCTACACATACAACATATATAAATATAAGCCCAAAAGCTTATGTTTCTCTTATCAGTCTAGGCATTGAATGAGAACAGCAGTGTTAACTCAACTGAAGATATTACTGGAACACATTTGCAGAGTTGCACGGACAACTCAATGCAAAGCGGTCCTCTGGAAATGATTAATTAAATTATTGACATAATCTGAACTTTATGAATTAATGCAGGTTGCAGGATTCTGGTTGTATGGAAATGTAATCCCCAGCTATAAAGTTATTCGAGCCAGAGCTGGATTCCCATGTAACAACCAACAGGTGAACTGTCCAGACGCCACCAGCCGTGCATCACTGGCTTCCCAGGAGGGCTCCAGTGCGGAAAGGTCTTTGCACCCCTGCCTAGCGTAGCAGTCTCAAAGGCTACGAAATCAGAGGTCTAACCTGGCATCCTCCACAGGGACTGTTCTTGGAGGTAGATGGCCAATAGCCTATCGTCTGGCTAACTTAATTTCATCAAAAAGTAACAAGCAGTAATTTACCAGCAGGCTGAAGAGGGGGAAAAGCTCTTTGAAGGCCGGTAAGCCCAAGACACTCACAGGCCGGGCACGCTGGAAGGAGCAGGCGAGGTACCGCCAGGCGTGCGCGCTGCCAGGCGCGACTCGCTCGGTGCCCTGCCACGAGTGTCCCCTGCAACGGAGGCTATTTATTCCCGGTATGGCAGAAATGCTTCAAAACTCAGCGTGGGAATAGCCTGGGATGATGCATGGGGAAATGGGTGTGTGAACATCTGAAATCTGCCAAAAGGTTTCTAATAAAGAGAATTTTGCAGAGTGAAGAAACCTGTCGTGCCGCTGCATGGTCTTCTAGTATGACTTGACTTGAACTCAAGGTTACTTTGAGAAGAAAAATGATTTTTTGGGCAGTCCCATATCTAATCTTCATGTCTTTCACTGTGTTTAGTCCCCCACACAATATTGAGGCATTTGAAAGGAGTTTTCTTCAACTAACTGTGTCTATAGGGCTGACGGGGGCATTTACCCTGAATGTTTTGAATGGATTAACTTTAGTGATAGCTTATATGAAATTACACACTTGCCAAAACCGAATCTTTTCAGTTTTCATGAACTACCCATGTTCTAATTCAAACATGTGCTTACGAGGATATCACAGAAATGTTCATTTACCGTGCCTTAGAAAAAAATATGTATTTCTGTAGTTAAGATCAGGAGAATAAAATAAAACATGGTAAAACATGACAGCTGCTTTTCCCTTGGATAATCCACTCTGAGCAAAAACCAAGCGACAACTACGGAGGAACACGCACTCGACTTAGTACCAAAGCATTTACCTGAATTGGAATCTTGCTGCTTTTCCCGTGTTCGTCTTTTCTTTTTCCCCTAGGATACGAAAGGAAAAGACCATCATCAGTTTGTGCTCCCAGAAGAGCGAGGATGCTCCTTGAGGCAATCGCCACGAGGACCCCGGAGCCAAGGTCCAGGGCTCCTGGACCCCGGGTGCCCAGTTTTATTGATGCAGACATCCCCTTTTCCCCTGAAACAACCCAGTTCAACACCTTTTGAAAAGAAATGTGGTAGGGACTCTCAAAGCACTTACCAAAATCAAGTGTTTGTGCAAATGATTACGGGTGTCATTTAAACTGCACAGATTTATTCTGGGCATGTATGGCAAAAATAACCCCTGATTTCCAGCATCCCGGAGCCCCAAAACACAGGTGTTTTGACTAATCCCCAGCATGCCAAAGCCACTAGGCATACGAGCTGCACATGAGCTGCAAGAAAAGCTCGGAGACCAGGGAGGCCACGTCTCCGCTATCGATGGCACTTCTCCCTAACGTGCTGCTCCCCGATGAGTTTGGGCAAGGTCAGACAGTGTTAGGTGACTCCACGGTTGCAGCTACAGCTGAGCCCTGATCTACCCTGCAGTCTGCAAGAGGAGCAGTGCAAGAGCTTGCAGAGCTTGCAAGAGAAAATTTCTGTGAACCCAATGCAATAAAAAAAAAGGGTCGCCTTTGCAGGGAGCTATTTTGAAAGATACTCCAGCTCTGTTACTGAATTCAAAGGAGCACCGGAGTCAATCACACTGAGGTCTCACCTGCGCTGCGTGGCAGGAGGCTGAGCTAAGGATATTTAGGCAGAAACGGGCCCCGATGCGCCGCAGAGCTGCAGCAGCCCTGAGTGCATTGGCTGGTTCCCCTGGGGCTGCGGTGCCCGGGGAGCACGTTACAGCGTAAACACTGCAACTCAGCTCTTTAGAAGTACACCTAGGAGGTGTGCGGCGTTGTCAGCTCGTGATTTTTACTGAAATTCTAGACATGCGAGTTTTTCCTCCTGACGCTCATGCTATAGTGTGAGAAACATGACTTTCGTTTTAAAAACACTGCAGGTTTCCGTTAACTTCCAGGATTGCAACAGAAACCTTCAGCTTCTGTGTCCTCCGAGGCAGAAGCGAATACCAGGACGCGCCGGTGTAACGCTTTCTCTGAAGTCACCTCGTACTGGGACCTGACTACTAGGACTTGCCCATGCCAGCGTGCTAGAGTTTTCAGGCAAAAATAAAACAAAACTATAAACACTGGCCTACCCTGCTGGGAATCTGAATCATTTTTGCTCTTGTTTAATAGAATTAAACAAGATTTACCATGCGCAACTGAGGCAATATGAGCGTACTACTCTCACGCCTGTCATTTTTTCAACACATCTGATCCTCCCGGCATATCGTTGTTCTGCCTCACAGGTCTCCATGCAGCTAAAAAAGCACTTGGCAGTTTTAGCCCCTTCCGCCTTCCCTGTTTCCAGTGCCTCCTTCGCAGGGACTCCAGCGCTTTATAACCGAACAGAAAGCGCTGCGTGACTTGTTCGCGGTATGGGAAAAAATGCTTTCAGAAATCCCCAGACACCTTTTTTGTGATACCCATCTCTGCACTTCAGTCCTTTCGCAGTTCGGCACCCACCTATCGTTCTTCTGTTTTCTTCGCTCGTTAACAGGAAAACACAATGTTATCCCCCAGTGGCCTCTCTGACCCAGAATACATAATAATGCTCTTTATATCCTAGTGACTTTATTAATGAGGGCACAGGCGCGCTGGAGCAAATCTGGCCTGCATGAAAAACGCAGCTGCCAGTGCTGGCTTTGACCCGTGACTTTTTATATGACTTCTTGTGGTTTGAGTGAAGGTGGAAAGCTCCTAACTGTGGTAAGCTTTTCTGCAGTGTGGGAGCAACTGTATTTCCTGTCTGACATCCGAGTCACGTGCCGCCGAGGTGACCTACATTCCTCCGCCCCGCGTGAGTCAAAGCTCCAGGGACAGAAGAGCATTTCTTGCAGGGACCGCGAGACCGGCCGCAGCTGCTGCCCAGCGCGGGTGAGCTGACGCGCGGCGGGCGTTGAGCGTTTGTAGAGCCTGGGTGGCCCCTCGCTGCTGCAGTCCTCGGAGAGGAAGCTCTTCTGGAGGGAAGAAAGCGGCTGTTTCAGAGGAGGGACGATTCAGTGGGACGTGGCCGAGCTCCACGTCAAACAGCACAGCCCTCAAGTTGCTGGGCAGACATCTAAAGACTTACATGCGCTTTACTTCAGGTCTCTAATGGGCTGGTGAGGCAGAGCCCTTTATATGCAAGAGCAAAACGGTCTGGAAAGCCACTAGAAAAGCCTCTTCCTCTGTCCCATGCTTCTGTGGCACTGCTGCACCCATGGAACCTCATTCACAGAATCACAGAATCACAGAATGGTTGAGGTTGGAAGGGACCTCTGGAGATCATCTAGTCCAACCTCCCTGCTCAAGCAGGGTCACCTAGAGCATATTTCCCAGGATCACATCCAGACGGGTTTTGAATATCTCCAGGGAAGGAGACTCCACTACCTCTCTGGGCAAACTTGCTGCCTCTTATATGATTAACATAGCTAAGAGGAAATGAATTTTTTTTTTAATAGCAAGTTTTAAATGTCCCATTGACGAGCCCGGAGGCTTCCCAGTTGCCGGGCCTACCGGCACGAGCAGGCAAGTGCTGCGAAGCTTGAGCTTGCGCCTGAGCTGCTGCAGCAGGAACCACGATCCCCTCCGACGACAGGCACCGCGTCTCCCTCTTTCCAAAAAAGGTGGCAATAGTACTGGAGACCTAGATTCCTGTCTGCTTTAACAATGTTTTCTGGGATCTGATTAACAATCTCTTCTTTGTATCACTGCATTTTCAATTCTTCCCTCGCAGCAAACACTCAGCTAACAACTCCACGGGGTGAGACTGGAGCTCAGCACTGGTCCTACCCCACCACTCCTGCTGA